AACTTTGTGTCAAACGATCTGAAGTACAATCGATAAAACAACCGATGTGTCCTTGCAAAAACTGCAGAATGTCAAGGACGATAGTGGTTTAGACTGCAGAGTGTCCTAAGAATTAGGGTTAACCTAAAAAATAAATGTTATGGAAATGATAATTGTTAGAATTTGGGAAATTGACGAGTAACATCGATATTAACGAAATATGTGTGATTTTCCCGCGCATATTTTACTTTAGTAGCGCCATCTAGAGTTTCAAAGAGTGACAGCTACACGAAGTTGAAGAATGTGTTCACAGATGGCACTAGATACGTTCTGGCTTTACGATTGGTGAAATACTTTTCTAACATCGAAGGCCATGTAATATTTCTTCGCACGGTTTTACAGATTTTCCATCGTTATTCGAATAAAATAATAAAAACAAATATATATTTACATATCCACTAAGGATCAAACTTAAGACATAACGGACCAATAAGCTTTCGCTCTACGTCTGCGATTTCATTTACGAAGTTTCCTTTCCGCTAAACAAAATATCGTATTTTACAAATGAAAAATATAAACGTCTATCTCTTAAACATTAATCATCAAATTATTAACGGATACAATTTACGAAACACATGACTGTTATCTGATGACTAATTCTTTATCGTAAATATTTTAATGTATTCCATTGTGTTGGGTTTTACGTCATATAAATGGCGATTAGACTTGAAAACACTTTGTCTTACTCGTTCCAAAATTTGCTATTGTGTTGTTACATAATTAATACCGTTATGCAACTACCTTACATTGAAAGAAATTATGAATATCGAGAATTATTATGTATATTATACTTCTGAAAAATGTCTTCAAAATGAAATGACATAAAGAATTTGTAATCAATTTGTAATCAGTTTCCATGTTACACGTTCAAACTAAATGTGAGAACGTGAATCATATCATCGTAATGTATGCATACATACGCGTATGTACGTTTTATCAACATTAGTACAAAAATTAAATTGAACGCACTGTTTTTGGCAATTGACATGTTTGCAAACGTAATATTATCTAAAATCCCCGAAATAATGAAGTGGTTGTGAAGTTGATGGGTGATTGGCACGCATGCGAACTAGGCTTTAGTCATGTCGGCATGACGTCATTTGCAAAGTGTCCGTGAGGAAGGAGTGGGAGAAATTCGATGGACACGTGTGTGCAAGTATAGGTGCTTTTCGGTGGCCGTGGCAGTGTAGCGCTACTGACTGGTTTCGAGTGTGTGCCAGTCGGTTGAGAAGTCGCCGACGTTGTATGCGTACGACTGCGGGTTGAGAGATAACGCGAGTGAATTTGCTGAAGCAAGGGTGGTGCTGTGTGCAGGTCGGACTGAAATTACTGCAGCCCATGTGCTCTACTCGTTAAAATGCTTATCAAAGAATTGTAAGTGATCATGGCTTTAATTATTGTTAATTTCGTGGACCGCGATAGACGGTTACTGGTCGAACATTTAAAACCATTTCTCGGGATATGGTTACTAATCTTTAACGGTGGGTGGGATTGGAGGGGTGAAGAGGAATCCCTTCGTCCCTTGCGATCCGTACGAACGAAATTTTAAACAACGCGACGATTACATTTACATTTTGTGCGTTAAATAACTTTCCTTGACAAGTTCGTTCGTTTTGCGTTACGTCTGACGTTTGATTCTGGATATCTGGTGTATGATACATCAATTTCATACTTGAGAGTTTTCAAGGTCATTCATTATAGATATGTAAGCATCTTTTACTCATTAATTATTAGACTACAAATACAATTAACGTTTCTGTTACAGCCGTGTCACTTTGCCACTTACAGTGGGAGAGGTATGTATTTGATGATCAGCAAGGTTTTATAATGACCCACTTTGGAACATGTTGTTCCATTACAAAACAAAAACCCAGCTCAAATTATCTTTTACAACCGTATCATGCTGTACACAAAATCTGCAACTCATTTAATTAGCATTTGTATGGTACCGTGTGTTGATTTTGTATGTTAACGTTGTGTTTTGAAATTTCTATCTCGATGTATCAAAGAATATATTGTCTATTCATGCTACTTTTATGATGATGTAACATGTGTATTTTCCTGCTGTATATAATTAATTTTTTGTATCTGTAATTATTACCTTAGGCAACAATGATACTATTAACAACAGTTTATAAAACTTTTTTATATTTTTGATGATTTACAGAAGAAGGTAGTTACTTAGAAGCTCAAATAAATATTCATGAGAAATGTGTGTCTGTAAATATATTAAGAAATGTAATTTGCTTTGTGGCAGTATCAAGTGGCTCAGCTGTACTCTGTAGCAGAGGCAAGCAAAAACAATACAGGAGGAGGAGAGGGTATACAAGTACTGAAAAATGAGCCATTCACGGATTATCCCTTGCTCGGCGGGAAATATTCTTCAGGTCAATATACATACAAGATATATCATTTAGCTAGTAAAGTGCCTGCTTTCATTCGCATTTTGCTGCCAAAGAATTCATTGGAAATTCATGAAGAAGCTTGGAATGCTTATCCTTACTGTAAAACTGTTATAACTGTGAGTATAATTTATCAATAATATTATACATGTAATATTACTACCATGCCATAATGTTTATGCATTATTTTATTCTTTATAGAATCCTGGATATATGAAAGAAAATTTTGTAATTATGATAGAGTCATTTCACATTGATGATGTTGGAAACCAACAGAATGTATGTATATAAAATCAATAAAAAAGTACATTTAACTTTACTTTGTACATTACATGTTTAATTTATACTTGATAGGTTCACGAATTACCTCCTGACAAATTAAAGATGAGGGAGGTGGTACATATAGATATCGCGAATGATCCAATTGCAAATGCTGATTACAAAGAGGATGAAGATCCAACCAAATTTAAATCTGTGAAAACAGGTCGGGGACCCCTTGTTGGCAAAGATTGGAAGAATAATGTTCAGCCTGTGATGACGTGCTATAAACTAGTCACTTGTGAATTTAAATGGTTTGGTCTGCAAACCCGTGTTGAAAGCTTTATTCAAAAATCGGAAAGGCGTTTGTTCACTAACTTCCACAGACAAGTATTTTGTTGGATAGATCGTTGGCATGGTCTAACTATGGAAGATATTAGAGCAATTGAGGAGAGTACAAAAGAAGAATTAGATAGGGTAAATACAGTTTTTCTAATTTAAATTTGTAGATTATCACCTCTGAGTTATGGCTGGTAAAAAAAATTACCGGAACATTTCTATTACAGCAAAGACATCAAGGAGAAGTAAGGGGTATGCGAGCTGATGATTGAGGCTTTGACAGCTATTATGGGTGGTTAAATCAATTTCCTTATATGTCTCAGATACATGCGCATACATATGGAAATACACTCACATACGTTTTGTCATAGGCGATCCTGCAGGATCGGGACAATTTCCAGGACTTACGTGTCTAGATTCAGTGTCTATTAAAACTACTTATGATTTTAATTTATTTACATTTACAAGCGATTTAGACAAATGTACCTACAGTCAAAGATTATAATATAGCCAATAACAAGAAAGAGAACCGTCACAAATCGGTTTGATCTATATGATGTATAAAACATTCAACAAAAAGAGTACAGTCCGATAAATATCAATATAGGTGGAAAAAGCATTAATTATTATTTAACACCATAGTTCGGTACTGAAATTTATAGACGAGCAATTCAAGCTGCTTGTTACAGAACACAAACAAGAATACTTGATACACAAAATGCGAGTTCGATCATAGTCTAATAGCAAATTCCATAATTTATGTCTTAGATCTATCGTGTTAAAGTTGGAAAACAGGAACATTGTCGCACTTGATGTAATTTCTGCTCTTCTAACGAATTTATGCGGCATAATCTGAAATTCTTTAAGCCTTATACAATGTACAATAATGAGAAAATTAAAGAAAAGTATTTTAGCAACTCTGCAAGCGGAGACTAATTTTATGGTAATTTACTAACGTTCAATGTTACCGTCAGATTAGATGAAACCACAAATGGTCAGTAGATTATAGAGGTTTCGCTTTTTTTATGTTTCCTGCGTTTTATTCGAAAGTTAAAGAACATAAACTGCATTCGAATTAGGACCAAATTGATGAATGTTTAATTAAACTGCGATTCTAATTATTGCATTAACATCAGTTGTTCGTAAAACGTATGGAAGTACCTATATAAAGCAATTAAATTGATATACATATGTACGTAGAGATGAAGAGGAAAAGAATTAAAACTATTTCTCTGTAACGGCGGGTAAACGTCGAAAAGATGCGTTATTGTATATAAAAAAAAAAGGCATACAATGAAATTCAAATTGAAATGTTATATATACTTATATATTTCTTTGCATTCCAATAGATCTCTGTACAACAAACCGAATTTAAACGCGTAGTAGTGTTCATATTCGACATGTTCGCTTATGCAAAAGAAACACAAAACAGTTCATTTAAAATATAGTTGAGAACGAACTATAATTGTCGTTTGCACAAATTGTATGTGTACTGTTACCTGTTATACTGGGATCTATAATATAATATTTAAGATAGCATTAGACAAACAACCTAGGCGAACTAATTATCGATTTCTGAATATCTCAATGAAGGGAGCATCAGAATTTATGCTGCTCAGTTGTGATTGTTAGCATTTAAGTTGAATGCGCGATCTCATCGGACTTCGATAATCGTGGGGATATTAAAATAAAATCTCATTGTGAGCACGTCTACCACTTCTGTGCGTTAGCATTGATTTAATAGGTAGTCTTATCAGCTTTCTCTTCACGATAAACAAGGTAGAAATCGTGAATAGAAATTCCTGTAATGTTGCAGAAGGACTAATAGCGGTGAAACACTAGTATGTATATGAATATGTATGTATATACTCATTAACATCTTTCGCATACTTACACATATACATACATATCTTGTGTCACAGAGTCATATGGGAGAAGGAGAAACTAAATAAAATTAAAAGCCACATTATATGTGAAATTTATTAAATCTTTCTCTTATAAAAAAAAGAAAAAAAAAACAGTAGAAAAGTGTATAAAACTATTTTGCTCGAATATAAATGGTTAGGTAAAAAAAATAGTATATTCAAAAATTTCTATTGACTGTATTCTTTAATGATGCTTCCAGCTATGACCAGTCTTTGTATTTCTGATGTACCTTCATAAATCTCGGTGATACGAGCGTCTCTGTAATGGCGTTCAGCCGGCATGTCACTAACGTAACCCATACCGCCTAAAATTTGTAAGCACTGATGAGTACAGAAAGTAGACGTCTCAGATGCCGACAGCTTTGCCATAGCAGCTTCCTGCCAAAAAAAAAAAAAGTTAATGAAATTGTGTTCACGTATGTACAACTGTAATTCTCACTGTACCTTCGTATACGGTTTACCGCTGTCTTTGACTGCAGCCGCCCGCCACGTCAATAATCTTGAACTTTCTAATCTCAACGCCATATCAGCAATTTTTTGTTGAATCAATTGTAGCTTAATAATAGGTTTACCAAACGCTTGTCGATTCGCTGCGTAATCAATCGCGCACTCGAGAGAGGCCTGAGCTATGCCTAAAGCTTGAGAAGCAATGCCTATTCTACCAGCATCTACAAGTAATACAGATGTTACATTTCCGGATGTTGTACTTGTGTAGATGTGTACTTATTTCATACCCAAAGTCATCATTGCAATTTTAAAACCCATTCCTGGTTCTCCTAGCAAATTTTCAGTCGGTATTTTGCAATTTTCAAATATCAATGAACACGTGCTGCTACCACGAATACCCAACTTATCTTCTTTTTTACCAACAGAGAAACCATCTGTAGACTTGTCAACTATAAATGCACTTATTCCTTTATGCTTTTTACTTTTATCTGTTGTAGCAAATACGACAGATGCCTCTGATTCATATCCATTTGTTATCCATGATTTTGTACCATCAAGTACATAGTTACTTCCATCCAACTTAGCAATGGTTGAAGCAGCTCCTGCATCGCTACCATTGCCAGGCTCACTGAGAGCAAAACACCCAACTTTTGTACCAGTTACAAAAGGACTGATATATTTTTCTTTCTGCTCCTTAGTACCAAACTTTTCTAAAGGTCCTAGATAAAGAGAATTATTTACGCTCATTATAACACCTGCACTGGCACAACCTCTGGATATTTCTTCCATTGCAATGGCATATGCTAGGTAATCTAATCCTGATCCACCCAAATTTTCAGGGACTGTTATCCCCATTAAACCTAGTTCTCCCATTTTTTTTATTTGTTCTTTGGGGTAAAGATGGTTTTTATCAATTTCTGCTGCTATTGGTTTCAACTCTTGCTCTGCAAAATCTCTACAATAGCAATTATTATATGCTATGTACTACAGTATATATAAAATGCTAATATTGTACACGTTAATTGAACAAATTGATTTCAAATTAAAATATATAAGTGTTAGTACTTGCATGTTTTGTGAAGCATCTGATATGTTTCTGGTAGCATAGAAAGAGATGCAATATTGCGAGTGGTCGTACGAAATACCGCAGATACATTTTGGGTAACTTTTAAAAAGAAACAGAGAAAAGAAATATGATATCATTTTTTTTCCGGTACATAAATATATCTCTTATTATTAAAACTTACCCAATAAATTTATTTTATGCATTTCGTGGTATATGCGCTTGCAACAGCAACACAGTATAAAATAGTTCAAGTATTGTCTTTATTGTTAAAACAAGTGGACTTTAAAACAATATTGATATCTTATCGATAACCTGATTTACAAATCATTATACAGCAATGTGTGCGGATTTCCAGTTGGCACACATACTTGAGTATGCATTTACGAATGAATATTTATGTGCAACATTCATACATAGGGATGCAATGATTGTCATACTGGTCCATGAGTCCCATACAGTTCCATAGTACACCACACACATGGAACGCATTAATGTGTCCAGACTTCCAATTGGTAGAATACGTAATATCAATTTTATCCTACCAATCGAAAGTCCAACCTCCTGTGCGTCTGTGGTATATAAATAATGTATAATGCGTGTATCAGTGATCTAATGATTATGTTTAAAAAGAGTATGGTAAAATCAAATGCATCCTTTCCGACGTGGTATGCTTCGAAGTATCGCGTAAAACTGCTTGATGGCGTTATTTAAGCTTCGTGCGAGTACTTTGAAAAAAACACCAATTCAAATAATCAGGCTACGATATAATTTTATATTTGTTGATTTTCTTCACTCTTCTAATATTATGTATCTACCAACAAAACTTACATGGAAGCGAAGAATTTCATTCCGAAAATATTCTATTAGCGTTATATTCGCATATACGTACAACGTTAGAACAATTTAAACAAATTGTATTCACGTTTTTTAGGTCTATCGTTAACATTAATTTTTTAAACAAAAACATCACTCGTTAAAAATCTTATGTGGAAATCTACGATATTCTGTAACTTTTTCAGCAGTGGCAGTAACAATCAATATTTTCGCGTCGGTAAGCTGAAAATGTGCGCATGTATTCATGTATGTACTCATACGAACGTTGTTCTGTTCAATAATACCAGTTTGTTTCTAAATCTCAAACAGTGAACGAACTTTGGCAATTAAGCCCGTATAAAGCAAAGGAACGTTGAATTAACGAAAAGAAAATGTCGAACAGCAAATGTATCAAACAACCCCGTAAAACCTATGCAAAGGAGCAGCAAGAAATGACCCACTCGGAAAAACTACGATTAATAGACGATGAATTGAACTCTTTCTACAAGTAAATGATTCTTTATCTTTTTCAGCTAATTTCTATTTCCTTCTTCAATCTTTGTAATTTGATTTATAGTTAATGTTATTTTCTGGTATTTCTTGCTATGTATTTAGTGATGGTAATAATATTTATACTATATAATATCATTTATATATAGGTACTGTCAACAGGCAGGTTTTACAGAAGAAGAAATGGATATTATTTGCCAACCATTGGTTGCTGCAATGCGACGTTCGTGGTTGCAACTTGTCTTTCGTGGAATGCTTGTACTTATAATTCTTGGCACCTTGGCGTGTCTAGCAGCCCAACTTGACTTTGTGGGGACACATTTCTCAGCAATCAGTCGCCTCTTGCTTATCAAGGTTCTGCCAATTTGGAATTGGCAGCCTTTATATTATGAAAATTGTATGATCAACAATCCATTCTACAATGATTACACAATCACAGAGGAAGACTGTGTGGTACGCCTACTAACATCTTTTGCCATAGTTTAGTTCTTTTAAGATGACCCATGAAGTTAATTTGAAATTGAATTTACAGACTTGTGAAGCATTGGAAACTATAGATCGTTTATCAGATGTTAGGTATCGGCATCTTGTTGATAACTATTTAAGTCGCGATGCCCCTGCGATTATCACAGATGCGATGGATTCTTGGGCAGTTATGAACACAGATTATTTCTGGTTTGATAACATTACTCATGTAGGTAGACACAATGTAAATACTGAGCAATTTTATGTATATCAAACAAAGTAAGCCACATTCGACTACTTTTGTATGGACAGCTATACTTGGAAAATGAAAGATTAATGGAAACAGTGCCCTGTGCTCTCACGTCAAATTTGAGAACTGGCTCATCAGATTTGGCGGCTTTTTTGCGTCGAGTACATTCTCCGGAAGTCGCCAAATGGTTTGTCCACTGGCAAAATTGCGACATCAATGCGGTAAAGGTACTGAGAAAATATTATCAACGACCGTACTTCCTTTCGAGTACAGTCTCGCCAGCACACTTCAATTGGGTTCTCATGTCTTCGGATTACAATAGTCCAAGTTACAAGAAAGTCGAGTTAGACTCTGGCTTGATCGCTCTCGCCCAATTGCGAGGAGCTACCCAGCTTCGTTTGACACCTATAAATCCTTGCAATAGCTCTTGTCCCGAACTAATAGCGGATTTGCATCAAGGTGAAATGCGTAAGTGTTTTTTGTTTTTTCAAATGAAACTTACCTTATCGCCGGTGTATTATTAATTCCGACAAGTTTCTTTGCTTCTCTTACAAAAATGTACAAAGCGTATATTTGAAAGCTAATCATTAGGAAAGAATTTCGATCAGACTGAGAACTGGAGGTATTGATTTCAGTGGTTTTTACCAATTTGATGTGGACTTTGGAGTATGCACCAATGAGAGGATTAGACAACATTGCTATTTTAACAGAGACCGTATGGGAGGAGGATACATAGATCAAAACTGTTTTCACTTAATGTCTTGTTAGTTCTTGATATTCGAGATCTATATATCACTCGATTATACATATGAACGTGTATATGTACGCTCATTATATCATAGTGCTGGAGTACACATAAAATAAAGTACTTTCGTCCATCCAATTTTTGCAAAATTATTTTAAAACGTTTTATTTAGGCTGGCTTTGGTTTGGTTTCGTAACAGCGCTTACAGACTATTTACATCGCTGTAGCGTTCGAATGTTCGAATACAGAAAAATTCGACGAGTAGTCTCAGCCTTAAATAAAGGCACTCGAGAATTGCGATGGTTTAAATTGGCATGATTGATGGTGATCGAGGACGAAATGAATGTGATTGAATAAATAGAGCGATCGATAAAAAGAGAAACAAGCCTGATTGTAGAGGGAGTGAGACAGCGAATGGGAATTGATAGCAACGAAAGCGATAGGAAGCATGATCGTGGGATGAGCGAGAAGTTAACTGCAGCGACCTCTTTGCCGGTGCGATGAAGAGAATGTTTAATGATGCTAAATCAATGAGATCGATGCACCGGCCAAATAATGCCGACTGTTACAACTCAAGTTAAATAGATAACATTAACCTTGAAAAGTGTAACGGTTGCAGCGTAAGGATGATAATAATACAAATCAGCGTTGCACCATTTTGCTAAAGTTTATACGGACAAGCGAAAAAAGGGTAGTAATATTGTGTATTTTTATAGTAGTAAGTATTTACAAATATTTACATGTTTCTCTTAAAATTATATTTCGTACTATAGCAAGGAGCTTATTATTTTTATTTAATTAAATTAATAGCTTCGTGTTAATTCGCAAAAACGTTATTATTGTCCTTGTAACGTAATGCATTCAAATTCTTTTAAAACAACATAAAAAATTAAACATTATAACATTTAAAGTTCAAATATGTTATATTAAGTCAGAGCGCAACTCTATCACGTGTAAGCATCTAAATTTTTCATCGTTTTATATTCGTACTACAGGAAATTTTTGACTTACTTCGGTCGAAAGTTGTTAAGCTGTTTCACCTTGGATAAGGCTGAATCCGTAAATATGTACAACGAGCGATAATACATGTATCGTTCGATGAGAAGGACTTGACCAGGATACCAGAAGTAACAACAAACAAGATTTGTTTTTTATTAATTAATCGTTTATAATAACATTGTGTTTTTTGTTGATTTTTCTCTTTTGTAGCAGTTTTTTTTTTGTTCTCGTTATTTCAGTTGGGCTAACAAGGAATAGATTGTTATGCACCGATTCATAGAAAAAACAAAGCGCAAGATTACTCAATGACAAGACAAACGTAGCTGGCGACTCGACATGCTTAATCGATGCGGTAATTCGTTATATTAAAAGTCGTACGTGTGTATATAATCGATTTCATTTTTTTTTTTATCTTTTTTTGCGCTACGTTCTGTTCATATACAATCTTAGGGTATCGATACAAGAGAAAGAATGACAATAATTGGCGCCTAACTAACAACATCATTCAAATATGTTTCTCGGATTCTCTATGCTTTCTCTCTCTCTCTCTCTCTCTCTCTCTCTCTCTCTCTCTCTCTTCGCGACAACTGTTTCTCCCGTCCTATCTTATCTGTCATCCATTCACATTCATTCATTCTCCATCTGGTTTGTCACTTTTCCTCTTTCTCGCTATTATCTCGCACATGCACCGACCACACATACGCACACGCAATGCACATTCTTTCTCTTTTCCTCTTCTTTTCTTCCGTTTCCTCCATAGAGCGTATCCTTTTCTCCCTTTTCTGTTTTCATTTCGTATTTCGTCGAACGGAGCGACCTTTATCTCTCACGGAAGATTCAACAACCCCTTTACTCGTTACTAGCAGCTTGTTGGGATATCGTGTATTATTCAGCTAATCGTTATCTAAATCGAAGTAAACGCGTGTACGCCTATTTCTCCTGGGAAATGGAAAACATACTTTTTTTTTTTCGAAAGAAAGCTTTTTCGTCGGAATACAATGTCTTTTTTTTTTTGTTTGTTTTTTCTTTTTACTTTTAGATGATCAACACTGATTATTTTCTGCTCGTCGAATGACAGACAATTTTTTCACGCGTTCCAGACCCAACAGTTTGTTTCAGTTTTTTTTTTTTGTTCGTTTTCTTTTATTTTTTCGTTTTTTTGTCGAGCGAGTGATCGACGATCGACCATCGTTCTCACGATTTAGGATATACACGTACGCGTAAATTCTCGGGCACGGCTTACGTTTGCGATTCACCTTGTATCAGCGTGTCGCGATTATCAAAAAGACTTTTTTTTTTTTTTTTTTATACGAATCCGTTCAACGACTATAATTCATAACAATGACAATGTACAAGTGAAATACTAGAGAAAAATGAGCGCCGACAAACGATTTTTCGAGATACTTTAAGAGAAGTCGATTTTTTCCTCGTTTCACATATATCAGCTTTTCCCCAAACATCTTTTCGTCTTTACATGTTTGTTCGTTTGGTTGACAGTCAGCCTGAGCTTGTTTTCATTTTTATTTTCATTTATTTATTTATTTATTTATTTATTTATTTATTTCTTCAATCGCCTCGCTTTACACAGTCCGTGCGTTTTATGTCTCCGCCTGTAGGTAAACGTTCAAATAAAAAGATTCGACTAAGTGTATATTATATCGGTTAGTTCTGTAATCGTGTTCGACCGTTGCATTGCGTCAGCTTATTGTTCCTGTTGTGTCGTTAAAGCTATTACCTTCTAAGGTTTTGGTCTGATCACGAAGAGAAGAGACAGGAAATCAGCTCTCGATACGCGAGGGCATCGAAACCGGTGTTTCCCTCGTGGCTTTTACTTTTTGGTTTTCATTTATTTATTTATTTATTTATTTTTTTTATCTTCTTCGTCAAGACTACTTGCGTTTTTCTTACGATATCTAACATCTAACGATAATAGATGAAGGGTTCGTGTCGTAACTTGCTCTAGGTGATCCCTCGTGCGTACTCGATGCGACTAATAGGTTCGTTCGCGAGGGATACCCATTCGAAACTCGATGGCTCGCGATCAAGGTGGAAAGAAACGGGAACGCAATTATCGAAAAGACGGAAAATAAAAGCTAGAGATTCGCTAAGTAACATTAGTTAACACATTCACTACCATTCGGAACGAAGTTTTAATGTACAAGCTACTAGTCCTCCCTTCGCTCTTTTCTTCACTATCCTCAACGAACAATTTCTCCCGCTTGCATCCTCGGTTATTCTTATCAAAAACGTATAATTGTTTGCTCCTCTCGTTTAATTTCGCCCGCCCTTGCTCGCCGCTCGATCCACGCCAGAGCGGCCTTGGTAGCGAACGTGTTAAACGTCTGTAGATCTTAATTGTCGCGTCAGTCTTTTTTTCAATTTTTTTTATTTTGTGTTAACTTTTTTCGCCCTCCCCCGCCCTCTTTTAATCGTTTGGATCATCGTCTAAGAGTTAGATATGTTCACGGCGCGGGTTCGCAGTCGGTTCCCGCACCGATCGCGGGTTCATTCGCGAGGGTTTGCGCAACAGGTCCTATCCAGAGTTGGGCACCGATTACGTTTGCAACGATCGGTTCGCAGTTATCCACGCGATCCAAGTAATCTTACGAAGCTAATCCGATTACCCGTTTCGCGACGGACAATTTGCCCAACACTGGTCCCACCGTAACGAAGAGACGGAAGATCCCTCTTTTTCATTGAGAAAACGACCTCGAGACTTCGACTCGATCCACGTTTCACAGAAGAGATCCGGAGAAAATATTTTTCTTTTTTTTTTTTTGTTCAGCTACGAAACACTATGGACCCTCCCTAAATACGTCGAGTCCCTGAAAAGAAATCCCAAAAATGACCTAATCTCTCGATCCTAGAATTCGACGCGCCCTTTAATTTTGGGAATTATTCGAGGGACGCGCCGGAACGGAAATAAAACGAAAGGATTTGTCTTAGGTTTTTAATCGATCTTTCGAAAAAGCGTGCTTTGGTCCGTAGTCGTGGTACATTCGCACCGGAGGTGGGCAAAATTCTCGTCTGGACAATAACGAGAGTTCGATAACGAATAAATGATAACGAATGAAACGAATCGAACGAATAAAATCTGAATAACTGTACAATGGGAGTAAACGTTGCGAATAAATCGTTATTCAGAGCTTTTATTCGTCGTCTGTCGTTCGAATTAAAATTCTGCCCGCCACTGGTGCGAATACGTACACTGCCCTTCATAAGTCATCGGACACTTGCTCGTCCGGTTTTGGAAAATGCAAATTGGTAAACGGCTACGATTCTCTGAAGCAATCCTACTACCTTATTTCGATATATGTACTTATTTTAAGTTATTATGTTACAGTAAAATTCATAATGCGTATATATAGATATATTTTGATCTAAATAAATACGGGATACGTAAGATCGTACGCGCCAGTGATTATTCGTGATAAACGTGTCTAAAATGAAAGAAAGACTCGCGGTAAATATTACAGGGAGACTGGAACGAAATTAGCCCGGAAGATCGAAGTGAAATTAATCGACGGATTGTCGCGATTAATTCGAGAGAACGCTTTCGAAACGAGGTGGATACGTCGATCGGAAGGATATGTAAGATTGTAAGATTATTCGCTAACTTTTTGGTTCGATTCTTAACATACGATAAGTACGATTTCCTCTATAATGTAACGCATTAATAAGCTGTTAGTTGTTTTATTACGTAACGTCAGTACTTTTTAAAATTTTTTTTATGCATTTACTTAGTGTCCAGTGACTTATGGATGGGAGTATAGATATATACCTGTGCAGTGATTCTCGCTCGATGAACGTCGCGCAATTTACCATGGACGATTTTTGCAATAAACGAGACTCGCCGATACGGTTATCCGCAAATCAAAGGATTTCTCTTCGACCGTAGTACTGCTACGATTAGGCAAAACTCTTGCTCCAAGATGGGACCATTGTAAAAATAGACTAACAAGAGATCAACAAAAACCGACGAGGTACCAGCGAAAGGGTGAGAGTGTCTTTCGAGTCGTCCGACTGTTTTGGGAAAGTGGCGAGGTATGTCATCGTTAGACCGCGGATTTTATGCATTTCCAACATTAACTAATATAATAAATACACGCGGAGACATAACTGAAAGCTACGTGCACTTATGCAAAACGATATAACTATGATATATAATATATTATATTATATAATTATATAATGTATATATATATATATATATTTATTTAATCTAAATAAATATGCGATAAGTAAGACCATGTTGTCTTAATATTATATAATATAATATATTAATTGTAAAATTTATATTTCACATACACTGCGTATATTTTTCGTATGTTTTTAAATGCATAAAATCCGGAGCCCAGTCATTATACTAGTCGGGAACGTAGTTTACGTCGAAACACGAAGGAAAACAGTGCAAAAGATTAACTTTCAACAATGTTTTATCCCCCCCCCCCCCCTACTCCTCTCCACCCACTCTTGCATTTGTTCAAGCGACGCTTCTGCAGTCGAAGGAAATTAAGCTTATACTTTCTTAAATTTCAAAGGCTGCGGCCCCATTCAAGTATAAAACGAAGCCATAAAGAATCGATCGAGCTAAGTCTTAATGGATTTGAACGGATTTCGCTTAAATCCTTCATCCTTGCGTTTCGCGATCGAGGATTGTAACGTAATTGATCAATTGAAATTTCCAAACGAATGGTAACGTTTAAAGTAGGATTGTATTTTAAGGCAGATGAACGAACGTTTCCACGTTTCTCGATTAGATTTACGACAAATGAAAACAGATATCGCAAGAAATGTCAGGCGGATCGCGATGGTGGCCCGTTGAACGGATCCTTCGTTGGCCCGCGTGTTCGACAACCAGAGATGGGCAAAATTTTAACGGACAGGATCGATGTAAAGCGTCGAGTAACATGCTCGGTTTTCTTTTTTCTTTTTATCAAACAATTCACTGTCTCGTAATATATTGAAAGGAAGGAAACTCGTCGTGCATGGAAATGTTTAAGAAAAGGTGACAACATTTTCGTCTAGAAAAGTCTAGATAAGAATCTTGCCCGTCTCTGTCGACAAACCCTGTCGAACAACTCGTAAATCGCATACTCCGTCTTGGTCGCTTGTCGCCGCATCCGTTGATAATTCGATTAGCACGGAACAGGCAAGAGGCAACTATCGCTCGCAACAGACAGACACAGCTATACCGTCAATATTAAATAACAACTATGACGAGTCCGGTTATGATTTCCATAATGATTTCTAGCGAACGTGACTTTGAAATTCGTCGCCCTTCCTCCGCCTCGTTAAGGAATTCTTTATTTCTTTTTTTTTTTATCCCTTTATATTATATATATATATATATATATATCACGGCGAAAGAAAAAGAACAGTTGAAGGTAAGGATACTTTGTACAAAATACGATACAAGTAGCGATGTAACAACACTTTGCAATAGTTAAATATAATGTGTGTACGTGTGTATGTACGTGTATTTGCGTACTTGGCTCTGTGTGTCTTTGTATATGCACGTATCTGTGTCTGTGTACGTATATATATATACACACATGTATATGTATATTTGCGTATGCATATATATGTATATTTTTCATTACCGTAACATACGTATCCTATGATCTCTCAAGTACCCCCTCCCCCACACCCAACCCCATAACATTTTCTTTCGTCGATCGAATTCGTGCCCCTTTTTTCACCTCGGAGCGATATCGATTAATCAATTAGTTAAATTATTTATTTATATCCACGACGTAGCTCAACTTGATCCACGAATCGTTCGTTTGTTAACCCTCTCGGCTGTTCGCACATCGTTTCAGCGTGTATAGTGTCGTCGGTTATCGTTTGGCTTTCGTCATGCAAAATATTTAGTTTCATTCGTAATCGTTTCTCTCGTTTTTCCATCTGGTCTTCGCCTTATCCATTCGGGTTCGTTTCCGTCGCGTTTATCTAGAGCAGTGGTTCTTAACACTTCTTAACAATGTTCTTAATCTCTAAACGTCAGAATCGTAATACTGTTTGGCTGCTCCTCGCTAGAACGCGGCAAAGGGCAAACATCAATCTAAAACGAAGAACAGAAAAAAGATTTTTAAATTCATGCATGCTGTTCGCCACGTTCTACCGACGACGACACAAATCGATACAGGCTCGAAAGGCTTGAAACATATTTATAGTCGAACCGACGATCGTTTCGAGGTAACGACCGTCTCGAAAATTATAACAAATAAAAACTTCCCCGATCGATCGCGTCAGGGGTGGTTAAGGATCACTGCGGTAGAGCGTTTCCCTTCGCCTAACGATTTCTCTCGGCTAACGATCGAACGCAAAGGCTGCACGTTTCTGAAATGAAACGCATCAGGCAAAGAAAGACGGAGGGAGAAAGATGAAACGCGCCAGAGGTGCGGAACCGATGTGTTTCCGCGCTTGTGTCGCGTTTCGATGTTCGCATTTTACGCGAAATTCAATCTGTCGGCCAAATCGATAAACCTTCGTCGTCTCCCGCTACAATTAGAAGAAACCTCGTTAAAGTTCTGAAATTAATATTACTTCGTTTTCTCTTCGTACCTAGGTGACTGGTGATTCGATTAGAGAGTATCGGATAAACATCGACGTCTCTTGCATGTAACGAATTCTCATCGATTCGAGTCGATCTCGTCTCGGTTGCCTTTATACAAAATTTCCTTCGTTACGCGATATCAACCGACAGTTCCGTCGAATCAGTCGAAGTCAAAGATATGATTGCTGTTCCTGGATGAAAAATTTTCATAAGGCACGCCCACGTATGAAAGGGATTTCTCCAACGAGCTATATATCGGTAGGTGATTCTCGTGTACGGTAGCCTGATTATGCGCCGATATTCGATTACTCGTATCGTTGAGCAGGCGTCGATACGTTACGTACCAGCCACGATTATTTATTACCATACGCTTGTCGGTTAAACGATACTATACATTTAATATTTTTATCGTCGAACAAATCGTTGAATTTGTCTGTGTTTCTCGGCCACAAATCAAGAGTCGTTCGCAGCGGCGTATTTATTTCTCGAAGTTCCAATGGCGGGTAGTACCTGCTCGATCCGCGTTTACGTTCCGATACTTTCACCAACTGACTAAATTTTCGTTTGAATTTCAGGGTCTCAAGCGGGCACCTGCGCACGAGTAGGCGAACGGAGATAAGTATCTTTTTAATGGCTACTTTGTTAAACTCTAGATTCTCATAAGGTCTCTGCTACCGAGGCAATGGTTTAATAAGTAAAATTTACTAAAATTAATTCATTAAAAGTACTAGCTTTAAGGATGACTCACCGAACCGAAGGAAATTTTACGATTTTAACATTAGATATATTGTGCTTTAGCTCCTGGAAACTTCGTCTTTGAAGTCTGCGTATTGAAATGGCGCAAGGAAAAGGAACATTGGATACTTCCCTCTAGAAAAATGACGAAAGACCTATTCGGCTACTCGTGTGTACGTGCTCCCTTGATCGGCGACGTGACACCCAGAAAAAGGACTCTATTGCGTGAAGAAGAAGAACGAGAAGAACAAGAAGAAGAAGAAGAAGAAGAAGAAGAAGAAGAAGAAGAAGAAGAAGAAGAAGAAGAAGAAGGAGGAGAATAAGACGATAATGACAATGACGATGATGGTAAAGGCGATCGAAAAGAATTTATCGGAGGTCGTTCGTTATTTACCTCGTGTTTGATATCGAGCGAAGAGTCGTCACCCGCGCGACTCTAACGTCGAATCCGACTACTGCAAGGAGCTACAAAAGAACACTCCTGATTGATGTCCGCGAATAGCGAGGTTCCACGATGGCGACGCTATCAATCATCGGTTCACCGGATACGAAATCCCGACCAATGGCGAGGTAACCGTCTACCAAAAAAGTTCCGACCGCTAAATCATTGAATTCCATCCAGGGGCATTCTCTTCAGCTCTCTAGTATACTTTCACGGTGATTATTTATTTATTTATTTGTTTTCTCGCGAGGGATATCGTTAAAGGACGCCAGCGAACATTCCTTTCCTTCTTGCCTGATAGGAGAGGCAAGCCTCTCCTTAGCCTCGTAAACTCGAGGTAGAAACAACGGGGGAAGATATAAACTTTATCGCTCCACGCGCGTACCAGCACAACTTTCTCTCTTTTTTTTTTCATTTTTCGATCGAACCATGGATCCAGCAGTGGTTGCGAAATAGTAACAGTCGTAGCGGCAGCAACAGCAGCAGCAGCAGCAATGGCAGCACACATTTACATCGTACGTTATCCGTATCCTGTCGTATCGTATCGTATCGTGTCGTGTCGTGTCGTATCGTATCGTGTCGGGTTCAGGGATAGTAGACCTGATCGCGTAGACCTGATCGGACGAGACGCATTCGTACGTTCCTGCCTGCGCGTCTCGCTTGCTCTCCGCAACTAATTCTCCGTAATACTGATTTAGAAAGTGATCCCTCGTGAAGGACGCGAAGCGTCCGCGGGAAATCGTTAGGACAGAAGTGGAGAGGAAGCGGAGCGAGCGACACGGGCAGGGTAATAGCTCACTTGCCGAGGCCAAACTTCATGAAGATCAGTTCCTTCCCTTTCGAGAGGATGTCGCCGCCGGCGCTCGCACCGGCCATTTCCGTGAATTTTTGCATCAGGTTCGGCCCTGTGCTTTGCTGCTGCTGCGGTTGCTGTTGCTGTTGGCCCTGGCCGGCGTTCGGTTGCGTCTTGGACTGAGCGGTTGGCAAGACGGTGGGTATCCCCCTCATCGGCTTGCTGGTGCTCTGACTACCCTGCATAGGCGCGCCCTGGTTCTGCTGCTGATACGGTTGATTCTGCTGTTGCTGTTGCTGTTGGGGTTGTTGCTGCTGGAACTGCTGTCCTTGAGGACCGAATCCAGTGCCCTGCTGTTGGTACCCTTGATTCTGTTGCTGCTGGTAGCTCTGGTTCTGCTGATTCGGCTGCTGCTGTTGGTACGGTTGATTTTGTTGCTGGTAGTCCTGTTGTTGTTGCATGTGCTGTCCCGGACCTTGCATACCTCCAGGCACGTTACTGCCACGATTGATCGCGCCTCCCCTCCCCTTCCCCTAGAAATTAAAGCGACACCAGTTAATCGAAACGAGTCGCCGAATTTGTTCCGTTTCTTCTTCCATTTCGTGTTGCATGTTTCGCAAACGTTCGTCGACCGCGTCCGGGATACCCTGAAATGTTCCAACAAAAACGTTCATCCCAACAAGCATGTTGCAGCCGTGTCGAGATGCGCCCTAAACAAACAAAAATTGAACTCTAACAATGTCAACGTTCGCATTAGTGGCGTTTTATGCGGTTATCGTTGCTATCGTTCGGTACGGTTTTCGCTAACGGTACGGAGACTCCTTTCCTAGTACACCGTAAACACATCCATCTACGTACCTTCTATGGGAGGAAGGGGGAGTAATGCGTTTTACGTACGCGACAAACGTTTCGACACGTCGTCGCCTAAGCGAAACAAAGGAAGCGTGAGAATGTACTTCGAACAAACGTTACTGGGACGGAAGTGTGCGACAGAACATTTTCGGTACATGTGAAATTTGTTTGGTTCGATCTTCTAGTAGCCTACCGTCGACGAGCCTACGATCGATCGACGCAACGATGGTCTCGATGTTTGTATAAGCGACAAAATAGACGCTGGTAACGTCACAGTACGGAAAGGAGCGTGAAGAGTAACGAAAGCAGAGAAAAGGAGCGACAGAAAGGTGTGTACGTTAGGAAATTTTTCGGGTGAGAGTTTCAATTACCGCAAAAGCGTGACTCACTGCCAAAGTTGGGCACGGTATTATCGAGGCGACTAGACAATCCCCGGACCAGAAAATCTCCCGAATAAGTAACTGTTCGTTATTCCTCATGCAAGACGATCGTGTGCCCATCTCCGTTTAATGTTCACTCTCTTACTGCTTACAATTCGCGCATGCTGGTACGTTATAATTACAAGCACTCGATCACAAGCTTTGAAAGAGAGATACACAATCCGAAAGAAACTCGGTGTTCTGCCTGTAACGTGAACGTCCAAATATTAAGTAAACTTTGATGTCTTCAACGATGAACGCAAGCTCTAACCTGGAGCTTGTTGATAAGGTGCATACATTTCTCGCTAAAGGTCTACTCGAAAGTTTATTTTCGCAAAAACTTTCGTAAATACTAAGACTATCGTAACGAGGGTATAAATAAACAGTGGTACTCTGATCATCCGACTAGCGATCGTTGATACTAAAAGTACATATTATGTATATGTACCATTTTATAATTCATTTTTGTATACAGTAAAATCTCGCTAATCTGCGAAAATAACAACGATTCACAGTTTATGGTTGTTCAAACATGAATCGCTTCTCTTTTTAATTACTCCAGATTAACGAGGTTTTCCTGCACTTACAATCAAACGAATTGATTAATTAACTGCTCGTTTAAAACTAAGTATATAATGCTAGACGAAGATAACTTCCTTTCTCGATGATGATCTCCGCGTCGTTTCCAGAGTTTGTTTTGCTCGAACGCATCAACGAGATAGGAATACCTTTGTCCTGTAATACATGTCCTGATTGATTTCTTATTGATTTTCAGTTGTTGGACCATTAGAGCCGAGCGTCACGATTACTTTTCTGCGGGCTCTCGTCTGTGCACGACGAAACGCCCGTAAACGGAAGGACAGAGAAGAAAAAGAAACGGTGGAGAGAACATAGCCAGAGATAGAGAGACAGTGAGCCTCGGCGTGCCTCGGTGAATCGATAAAGAAAGATAGGTAAATACAGTCGAAATATCGTACAACAGGCTTTTTGCAGCGTAGAGGAATTTGCAGCACGTCGATAAGCACCAGTGAAAACTTCTGGATAGAGCCAGTGAACTCACCTGCTGTTGAAGGTGGAGTGGTACGGGACCTTGCTGATGGGCACCCATGGGAGTGGGCCCATGCTGATTGGACGTGGTTACAGTCGTGTAGCTGTGGTGATTCGCTTGTTGGTACGCTAGATGCGGTGGATTGTTTTGTTGATGTTGGAGTTGATGTTGTTGGTTGTTCATTAGTGATGGTTGTTGTTGTTGTTGTTGTTGTACTTGTTGTTGTTGTTGTTGTTGTTGTCTAGAGTCTAAGTGACAGACAGGGACAGACACAGGCACAATGCAGGCATCTAGCAACAGAGAAGAGAACAGAACCGTGTTGTCATTCATGGCGCATTTATCTCTTTTTAAATTGAACATTTATGTACGTGGCCAAGTATGCCGAGTAATGCTGTGATTTGTCTGTCTCTTTCTTTTTTTTTCTTTTTCTTTTCTTTTTTTTTTTTTTTTTTTTTTTGGTTCTTTTCAAAACGCAAGACAACGCATTCAAGTTGAATCGTTCAGGAAAGCATGGACTCGAATTACTCGGCAGAACCTGGACCAGCGCGAAAACAGTTAAATTTTTTTTTTCCCGTGACTTTACACGCATCAAGACACGAAATATGATAGAACATCGTACCGATAGTCTTGAACGAATCGTCGAAAGATTATGAGATTTCATATTTATTTGAACGTTTAAATGGCCAGCTTGACAACACGACACGAACGACAATCATGTGACACGACGACCATCGACCAGTTCAGGCACACAGAAACAGATTATGTCGTTATAGAATAACACGCTATATATGTATACGTATATAGCGTAAATATAACACGTATATATAATAGACAGAGGAAAAAAGATAGGCACGTAGAAAAGTAACAGAGCCGAAAAGTGCTCGGAAAGAAAAGGTATGAATATAATACATATATATGTATATACACATATATGTATGTATGTATGTATGTATACTTAACAGAAACACTGAAAGCAGCTTAGTGTTTTAATTTGTATATTATATATACATATATATATATATATATATATATATATAGATATATATAGGTATATAGATATATATAGATATATAGATATTTTATAAGTGTGTACGCGACATATATAAAATATGTATATATTATATATGTAGAGACACAGAGAGAATAGATAGGTAGACAGACAGATAGATAGAAATCGCTTTGCGTATGCCGAAAGACGTGTTCCTAAACAAACAAACAACCAAAAAAAAAAAAAAAAAAAAGAGAAAAAAAGGAAGAAGATTCCAAACACGAAAATCGCTTGTACCGTTCAATTCCGGTTACTCGACTCTATATCGTGGCAATTTCGAACGTGTTCCTAGAAGCTTGTCGTTAGAGGGACCACTCGAAAGTAATTCCCCGAAGGCAAAAGCACCGGGTGCGCTTACACGAATGCCATTCTAGAAATAGTCGCACAGTTGCTTAACAGTATTGCGATCTCTCGATTAATCGTGGCAAGAATCGTGCGCTTCTAAACAAGCCAACACTTGGACTCGATCGTATTACCGATCGGTGGATTGCTAGATTTATTCGCCCAACCATAAGTACTTGTGTGACCCTTCTGCCTGTCGTCTGGCACATCTAATTTCGTGTCTTGTGTTGCTTGCCGCATGTACAGTTTCATTCACACTGACGTCTGGTTGTTATTTCCAGTCCTAGTTCCGTTCTATCCCTTTCCTCGCACCTTTTCATAGAGAAACCGCTATCGATACTCGGCAGTTGTCGTTCGGCCAGAATAAACAGCGCCAGTGTGAATTCACTTGAAACCCCTCGAGCCAGCTTTACCAGCCCCCTCTTAAGCGAAAACCTACGCGAAGTATCCTCGCGTTCTCCGTTGTAATTGATCTCACTGATAAACGCATTCTTCGTAGGAACCTGCATCCTTCTCGTTATCGATCCTGCTCGTTATTCTTATGCTCCTTATCGTTATGCTCTGTCATCTTAAATTTTGCCGCTTCCCTTCTATTAGCTTCGCCGAGGATGCAGCTACGGAAGCTTTGGCTTTAGACGATCTTTTTACGTGGCTTGAGGAGCTATTCTTTGCGGCGGTATCGTAAATCGGTAAAGAGGAAAATATCGAACGGCAATCGGTCTTTATAGTTTTACCTTTGCCTCGTCGATGACCGGGAGGTGGAGGTTCCCGTGGCGGAGGTGGCGGTCCCCTCGCCCCAGGTCCTTGGCTCTGACTGGGCGGCCTTCTGCTACCCGGTGGAAGTTGTCCTTGCGCTGGCTGATCGGGCGCTTCGGTCAGGAAGTTGCTCGGTACTAAACCACGTACACCGTTCAGTTCACCCATATAGAATCCGTCGTCGTCCAGGTCGCCGTACACGTAAATCTCGTTTCCGGTTTGGAACGCCAGCTCCACTTGCTACGGGAACAAGGACACCCGGTCACGGACGTATACGGTAGAGCGAGAACGCGGGACGTTTTTTTTTTTTTTTTTTTTTTTTAACAAATTGCAATGATCTTACGGAATCAACGTTGGGCGACAATTTGTTCGGATCGTAGTCGTAGAGGGCTATCATCTTCTTCAGCGGCATGCTAGCGTAAATGTCTCCCCATCTACCTCTCCTATCTGGCTGACCCTGTCCCGGTTGATTAGGATCCTTGATCTCTTCTACCATGTTGAATGGCACGTAACCCCGCCTGCCGCGGCACTCTCCCCAATAAAATCCGTCCGCGTCTTTCTCGCCGTACACCTAGCGAACCGAGCAACAAGTTACAAGCACGTTAGGCACGAGTTACTCGAAAGGACAGTAAACAAGACCTTGATGATGTCGCCCTCGGAGAAGGGCAGTTCCTCTTCGCAGGCGCCCGGATTCGGCGACATGATCTTGGGATCGTAATTGAACAGGGCCATGAACCACCGTGTCCTCTTGTTCATTTGCTGGGCGCTGCTCGACGGATGACCAGCACCACCTTGAGCTTGCATTCCACGTCCGCCGCGATACCCGGGACCTCTGCCTCTTTGGTTTCCTGCGTGAAAAAAGGAACCACACGCACAACACAAAATAGAGAAACGCGGCAAAGCTTACGCGTCGTAATTTATAATCGACCAACTACTCGAGCTCAATCGAACGAGAGCCAAATACATCGTTCGGTCAGAGACGTTCTCCCGCGGGTTAAGATTTGAATAATTTAACGCTAAACCTACCGCGACGGGGCAAATATCCTTTTCAAACTTTTGTGTGTAGTTCTCATACACGATACGTTTCGTGCATTGTTCAATTTAGTTTCGCGTAAAATATCTTTGCAGTCGATCGAAAAAAGTTTCTTTAAGGCCAGTCATTTGATCGATCATGGTAGAAGTAGGTTTAGTGTTCATATTCTTTTCCTCTTTTTTACGGAACAGATAATATTGGGTTGGTGCATAATTATTCGCCGTTGTTTTTTTTTTTTTTTTTTTTTTTTTTTAATTTTATTACGAAGAAAGAAACATGTTTCATTGTTTGAGAAGCAAATGGGAAGCAGTTATCGAAGTAGACGGCGAATACGCTGCAGAATAAACAATTAAACATGTTTCTGTTGAATTTTTGTTCTTTTTTTAAATAATACGCGGCTGATAATTATGCACCAACCCAATAATATACCAAAGTCTCCGACCGGTCCACGACGAATTAGACTCTCACTTCCATAAGCGTTTCGCTCGTACCTGGTTGCTCGTAGTAGGGATCCTGAGGCCTGCCGCCAGGTCCCGTGATCCTTCCGGATCTGTGCGTGCCTGGGAGTCCCTGTTGTCCCATTTGGGGCCCGTACCTCGGATGACCGCCGTGGTGAAGGGGCGCGCCTCTCCTGCGCGACGGATCGTCCTCCTCGCTGTAGTTCGCTTCGCTCGCCGAGTCCTTGGTGATTTCTGGAACTCCTAGGCGACAGTAGCAACGCGTGCAAAGGTTTCAAAAGGTCCGCGCGACCGTTTCAGAGGATGATTGCCGTTACGCCGCTTTAATATCGGCGAATGGCGTGTTTCGAAACGAATTATAGAAGTGAACGAACCGTTCCGAATTACAAGAAGGACTCTTACCCATCTGGGACATGCTCTGTCCAGGATAGATTTCTTTATCGGACAAATTCTCGTCGGTTTCGATGATGACTTGACCGTGAGCATCGACCCGAGTGCTAGCGTGTCTCCTCATGTGAGAGGGCACAGGGATCGTCGGGTATCTCTGGCTCACGCCTGCCATCCGCAGCCTGTTAGGATCGTCGGGCTGTCCCACGCCTGGCTGTTGCTGTTGTCCTTGATCTTGCATGTGCACGGACCCGTGCTGCAAGTGGGCCGCGGGCCCGCCGCGCAGAACGCTGCAAGGAATGGCGGTGGCGCAACTGTCCCCCGACTGGCTCTCCCTGCTCTTGGTCCTGACCGTGATATGCTTCGGATTCAAACCCATCAGTTTATGGATGTCGACCAGAGCATGGTCACCGGTTGGGCTGTCTACGTCGGTGACTTTTTTCCCATCGGCGTACACCGCGTAACCGGTGACGGCCGAACCGTTTAGGGCAACAGGCTGCCAGGTCACTAGCAAAGTGCCGTCCTGCGGTCCAGCCTCCACCTGCGTGGAAAGTATAACAGCACGATGAAAATATCGCTATCTCGACGTCCACGAAACTATACCGTGCCGTGCTATATACCGCATGCCGTGTGCAATTACGAGGGTGGCTCGTATATGTACAATTTTTCTAATTTTATTCAACTACTGTCGCGTTAAAATCTATCGTTTCTCTATACCTGTAGGCGTGGCTCGTTAAATATCAAATCGAACCACGGACGATCTTCTATATTTACATAGTCCAATACAAACGTATATTATCTCGGTGTTCGAGACGATTGCGAGTTTATATTCGAACCGCCCTCGTGGACACCGGAATAGGATGAGCTATTAACCTGGATATCGACCGGAGGATCGGGTAGTCCCTTGGGTAACGTTTTGAAGTGGACGTGACAAGCTGAATTGTTCGCCGCTTGAGTATTTTGGTCCTCGAAGTGCGTCGCTCTCAGATTCTTCGCCTTCACTGTCACCCTGTAGATCGTCGAGGGCGCTAAGCCTGTGATGGTGTGCCTGTACACGCCAGGCTTCACCGTTCTGACCTCGACGTTGTTCACGCAAACGACGTGCTGGTGATTGCTGTTGCTCGGCAGCCACGATATGACAGCGCTGGTGGCGGTTACGTTCGACGCCTTGACGGCGGTTGGACCCAGGGCGACGTCTTTACCGATCACCATCGTACAAGCGGCGTCGCGGGACGTTCGTCTCGAGTGTGTCACCGAACGTACGCTTATTCTGTGCGGCTGCATCGTGTCCATCAAATGAAATCGGGTAACGAGGCGTGTTCTTTGTTTTAATTTAGGGCACGGTACAAAGAAACTCGCAATTAGGTGTTCAAAAAGAAAAAAAATAATATCGCACTTCGCTCCCTGATTATTTACATTTCAAGCAAACGAAGTATATTACATAAACGCTTTGATGGAAAGCTCCTTTCTCGCAGCATTTCAAGTTCCAGATCGAAAGGAAGCTGGGCGATGTATCGCCATCGAGATAGTGACACCCTCTGTCCAGAGGGGGGTGGGGGGGTGGGGGGGGGGGGTGGAGGAGTTTTCAGCTGGTAGGAATTCGGCGCTTTCAAAAATTTTCCTCTCCAGCACGGTAATAAAAAGAAAATAAAAAAAGAAGGACGGTAGAATCGACACAACGCTTAAGAAAGGAGCTTCCCGTTCGGAACGCTTCACGCGAATGTTCAGCGAGGGAGATTAATTTGTTAAGCAAGAATTGTTTTACGAACCCTTGTGGAATCGACACCCTCGACCAACGCTCTAGTTCTCTCGGTCGCTTTCACGGTGACCTTCAACACCCCATCCACGTAGACGTGATAGGACTCGAGCTGGTGCGTATTTTCGGGCGGCGTCCAGCCGATTAGGACGCTCTTGTTCAGCTGCCGTTCGAGAGTGAGATGCTGCGGCGCCGGAACTAGGTCCGAAAACAGGTAGACTTCTTCAGGGAAAAAAGACAAGACAAGCCTAGCTGTAACTAAAAATCTTTCGCTATCTAGTTTCGCTAAGCCAGCCTAAATCCATCCAATACTCAACACAGTGCAAGACTCCGTTCGAGATCTGCCTCCGATTGCGACACTCTCTTCTCGCCCCAACGAAACCGAACGGATCTTTTCGCGTTAGTGCCATCAAAATAAGCAAACATGCGTTCAAGACCACCTCTACCTTCGAACGTCGCACAATCGAAGGTCAACTAAACAGGAAGAAAAGCCGATACTTCGCAGACACTCGGTCCCAAGCATCGTGATTGTCTCGTCGAACGAGCGTAACTAACGAGAAATCGTTAGACGCGCAACCACGGTATGCCGCATTTTGCGTAACCGCAGAGAACTACTCGACGGACTCGAAATAGCTGAAAGGGGGGTGCGTTGGAACGATGGAACCAGGCGCTACAATTACGTCCTACGCTAAATTAATCCATACATCTAGCGGTAGATCAACCGCCGACTGACAGACCGAATCGATACCGATTGAGGCTTCCGGGTGTAAGCCGTGCCCTTCGGATAAGATGCTCGTCGGGGGGTCAAACGACATATCCATATCAGCGCGGATCTAACCCAAGCCTAATTCGATACATAGGTCTGGGTTAGGTCTGAATTAACTTCGAACATACACTATGTACTTAAATAAGAAAATGTCTTCGTTCTCGTTTCACGATAACGACGATGAGAAATATTTACACGCGTGGCTATGCTTCCAACCAAATTCTACTCGACGATGAAAACTATTCCCTTGAAAAAATCGAGCAAACATCGATACCTTGCCTACGATCCTCTAGCGTTCTAAATACGTGACGTTTGAAGCTCAGCGAACAGATTCTATCTAACGCTCTACGTTCTATAATAGATTTAGCTGGATCAAAAACGAATGAAATATTCGTACTAGACGATTCTTACATTCGTAATTACGTGTCTACCATACGTCTAAACGTACATGCTCCGCAGCGAAAGTCAGGACTTGCGTTAGTACGAAGGTCTACTAACCTGGTGGTTCCTGTTCGTCTTCCTCGGCTATGTTCTCCAGTTCCGCGTACGCCGACAGCTCGGCCTGTCGATTTCTGTTGCCTTCCTCCAGAGCTGCCAACTCGAGATCGAAATCCTGCAGGAAGCACTGGGGAAAGAGAGCCGAATCAGAACGTTGGTTGACGCGAACGCTCGTCGAGGAAAGAGTAAATAAGTCGAATCGAGCACGTAGCATTGCAAGCAATTGGAGGGGAACCTATCCTGGACGCGAGGCTGCGTGTAGGTAGAGATAAACAAAGTGTACGTGTCGTAGGGTCGTTGCTCACATTGCTCACTTGGGGGATATTGGTGGATGCGGAATCGTCGACGTCTCTGAGACCCAGCACGGCTTGATGGAACTCCAGCAGATCGTCGCCGACTAATTTCTGGACGAAATTAGCCGGGACGAGGCCTCGTCTGCCATCGAGCGATTCCGCGTCGAGGTAACCGTCGGTGTCCGGTTGTCCCCAAACGAGAAGGTAATCGCCACCTTGGACGGGCAGTTCCGCTTCCGGATTCTCGTTGGGCGAGTGCTGGAACGGCTCGTAAGTGAAACGAGCTATGTAAACGTAACACCTGCCCTTGCCGGGTATATCCAGCATGTCCACTTGGCCCTCGGTTACGGTATTGTCATTGGTCAGTCGATCCAAGGGATTCGATAGTATACTGCTGGGTATCTTTGGCATTTGTCGCGGGCCGAGATAGTGGTGGCCCGTCGTGGTCGCGGTTGGCGAACTGGCGCGCAAACTTTGCTGAATCTGCTGAATGATCGCCTGCTGCTGAAGCTGGTTGGCTTGGGACTGGGCAGAAAGTTGCTGCATCGCTTGGAGGGGATCGCTTATCGCTTGCAGCAAGCCTGTCGAAGTGGTACCTGAAACGGGAGATAGTTTCCTTGTCGCGGGTTTAGCGACTGCGATCGTACGCTCGAGGTAAACGTTTCGAGATGGTCACGTTCGAAAGTATAATCGAAAACTTTTGTAAAAGTTTTGCATTCGTAACGAATCTTTCGTTTGTAATACTCGTGAAATGTTTATGGCAATAACTCTGACTGTTACGTTCAGTTTCAGATTTGAATGAATTATATCAGCTGAATCCAGAGGATTCTCGAAGGACGGCCTACCATTAGTGGTTTACTCGTACCTGAGTTGACGCCAGACGTGCCAAAAGCATTGGTCCCGACGGTAGAGTAAGTCGATCCGCTAGTGGCAAAGGTGCTCTGTACACTCGAGTAGGGAAGAACGGTTTGGGGCACGCTGGTGAGCGCGCCCAGGGTGGAATGGAAGGAGCTCGTCGAGTAGGGCGGCAGGGACGACAACGTGGTTTGCGGAATGCTCGTCTGTGGAACCGAGAAATTGTGATGCGACAACTGGGTGTTGAAGGTACTCGCCCCTGTGCTGTAGGTTCCGTTTGGGTGGGATGTTATCGATAAGCTTGGATAAGTCGTTGCCTGCGCACACGTCGTGTTCATTTTTCAAGAAAACAACAAAACGTCGGTATTAATAACGATGCTTGAAAAATACAAATACGTATAAGGAAGACGATTAGACAGGCCCAAACTGTTATTTATCGAACCTCGTCGACGAGAAAATAAATATGTTACGGAAATTAATAATGGTCGGTGTAGATCTTCAACGGAATCTAATTGTTTTCCTTATGAATATAGGCGGGAGTATCAAAAAGTTTTCGGATAGTCCCTACTTGAAATAAATATTATGATTTCATTTCGTGTACTTTTAGGAACGACTGACTGGAAGATTCAGGAAGGCCTTCCAGATGTTCCAACGCTTTCAGAACACGAACCAGCATCCAAAGGGTTCGTGTAGAATGCACTAGACCGGTTTAATTGCAGGTTGGTCTGCTATTTTACAGTCGGTGTAATAATAACTTTTTGATACCACTCCCTTCCTCCTCCCCCGCCCCCTGCCCCCCGCCCCCCGTAGGGAAATTTTATTCGTACCTGCTGACTTCCGTTGAGCTGATAAGTTTGGGCGGTCTGAGTGGGCTGCGTGTAATGAGGTATTACGCTTTGACTCGACGACGTCAGGTACGTTGTAGAGGCCGGATGCTGCTGCTGTTGTTGTTGCTGCTGGAGCGGCTGCTGATAGGTTTGCGTATGCGGATAACTCTCCTGGTACTGATTACTCGCGAAATGGGTGTGCGCTTGTTGTTGCTTCTGCTGCGTCGGCAGAGCACTCTGAGAATGGGAACTTGGCAAATCGGTGTGAGTTTGCTGGGATTGCTGATACGACTGCATCTTTTGTTGGAAAACGGGCTGCGATTGACTGGTGGAGAGCGACGGGGCTGGCGGAATTGGTTCGCTATAGTGATACGGAGGCCCGTTCGGCGTCAACGGCGGACATCCGGGCATCATTGGCGTCAGGGGCATCGGTGAACCTGCGTACTGTTTTCAATTCTTCGTTTCGGTACGCTTTCAACTTATTTCGGACTTTTGAAATAAATTAGAAACCGTTTTCGCATGTATACCCAACGGTACATAATTTCGGTCGCAGTAGTTTTCAATCTTTCGTATACAGTTCTTATATGCAATATGTAAGCTGTTATATTTCATATTTTATAGCTGTTATATTTGATTTTATATTTTCTAATTCATTCCAAAGGTACCATATCTAATTTTTAAGGCCGCAAATCAGAGATGCCCCCATTAATAATGTCTTTCGATATGTTTAATTTCGTATGTAAGGCTAACGGATTTTGCGATTCGTTTGCGTCGTTCGGCGGTGTTTACGTTCCGCGACCTGCCCCGTCCCTTGAAACGTTTTTTGTAGCCCGGTTCGTGAGCGGTGTAGCTTCTCGTTACGAATTTCTAACAGTCGCGGTCGAATCGAGTCCCGAGACGCACGTATGTTGACATTTGCTTCGAATACGCAGCAAATTAGAGAGAAACGAATCACTACGAAATGACGTTACCAATGTCTACCAGTGACTTTGTGTATTTCTTGCAAAGTATTTCTTGTGTATTTCTCCCTGAACGGGACAGAAATAAGTGTGTTTTACGTACGTGGCCCAACTGCGATGGCATTCCCAAGCTCAAAGCATGCGGATGGGGTGGGTGCTGATGCTGGCCAAGATTTGGAAGATTTTCCGAGCTGGATCGCAGAATGCCCTGCGTAACCGAGGGTTGTTGCGTGGTGATGGTGCTCCGGGAATGGTCCAAATCGTGCAACATCCTACTAGCGCTGCAGGTTAGCGAAAATTAAGTAAAGTTAATCGAGGCTCGACGGCGATCGATCGTCCGTGTTCGCGTAAAATATTAAAACACGCGTCAAGGGCTCGAGAGGTTAGTGGAGTACGATGTCAAGGAGCACACACCTATTATCTTGTTCCATCTCCGCTATTATTCTATCGAGTTCGGTACCAGCCGGTGGCCAAGTAGTCGGAACCGCCGAGTGATGACCTACCATCGGCCCTCTGCTTCGAGCACGTCTCAGACTCGTTAGCTCCAAGGACAATTCCTCGTGTCTGACTATTTGTAGCTCCGTTTTCTTTTCAAGTTCTCTTATCTTCGATTGTAGTGCCTCGACCGACTCGGGACCTTGATAGCGTCCTGCTATCTTTTCGCGTAGCTGGTTCTGTGCCTCTGCATGCTGTCTCTCCAAATCCGCCTTTCGAGCTTCCGTTTCACGCATTTGCTGGAATAAAGACATAGCTTCGTGGTCTCGTCGGAGATAAAGTACTAGCTGCGTCCTCCCGCCCCCCCCCGCCTCCCCCCCCCCATCCCGTGGAATACTATTTATTTTATGTCTTTACTGTCTTTCGTTTTCCGTAACGTAGATGTTTCAATCGATATTTACTTTCGCGCTAGTATAGATTTTTCATTGATATTATTACTCGTCAAAGTGCTCCGAAATGCACGAGTTATTATTAATATGTCGGTGGCATGGACCACCTTTAATAACCCTGGAGCCTGGTTGCGAGAACGATGAAAATCATCCGCTCGACGTTACTAATAATAAAAGGTGTCTTTGTGTTCCGCATGACCCGAAGGTACGTAGGTATCCGCTGGATCGAACCTTGTCTACGCGAACCCTAACAGATGCTGTCCGACGTTAACGTCAAGTACCGATTTATTTCGACGAAGGATCAAGCCCTATTCAACGAACGCGCCTGACCTTTATACTCTCTGGACTAGTTTAAATTATTCTCAGCCATTGCTTTCACCTATTCACAAATTTCTGCTTAAAAAACCGAATCGAGTAAGTGTTGAGAAATTCGCGAAGGGTTAACGAAAACGTCCCTGCAGGTTACGATCTTTTTAATTAAAATGAACGCCGCTAGTGCCGCGTTCAAAATTCGCTTAGAGCATCAATATCTATCGGCTGACGAACATCTCGACGATGTACGCCTTTATCGTCGGCCAGGAGCGGCGTAATAGCGCGAATCTCGGGTCGTCAATGCATCATTATTACGTGCACATTAATTTTGTACGTAATACTCTGGTGGTTCAATTTCATTCCCGTCCCGCGACGCGATCAAACACCATTCGCTACACGAAACGAGCAACTATTACACGCGCGGGCCGATAGAAACGGGAATAAACAAATTACTAGGTAAATACTTTCGGAAGTAAGTGATTTAGCTAGAAGTAAAAGTGATTTCAGTTCGTTGATTCCAAAGAGCAAATCTTATTCCACTCTGTAAGCAATCGATTCAAATCGTTTATACTCCCCGACTAGCTGATTCATTCGAGTACGGTAAACAAAATTATAGTCTCTAATTGTTCGTAATTGACGAGTCGATATCAATCTACTTCATCGACGCGAAATCGTTAACAAGTTTCGATGAATACTTTTGTCCATGATTATTTATGAAATTTATATACACCTCGAATTTATGAATTTATTACCAAGGTAAATTCATAAAATGTACCGAAGGTATGGGCTGGATATACCGTAAATAACGAAAGTTAAAATTCCCAGAGACGAGCCCGTTGTAATCGATATCGTTCGCTGAAACGTTATACCCTTTAAAGGGATTAAAGGGGAAGAAACCGTTTCAGCGATCGCTCGAAAACAACGAGGGTGAACTGGTTATAGAAAAAAAAAAAAAAAAAAAAGAAAAAGAAACGAAAAAAAGATCGGCGAGACTCACCTCGCGTATGGATTCGAGAACCGGGTCCTGCATGATGGTGGCTTTCGTGGAGGTGGTAATCCCGACAGCAGATCCGGTATCCTGCAGCTGCGGAGCCTGAGGTGCCGTGGAAGCGCCACCTCCAACACCACAGCACTGCAACATCCCTGAAGTCTGAAACCCTCGCCCGTCTTTATCAGGGCCAGTCCCTATCGATCTACCGTGTATCTAGGAGCTATCTTAATTAATTGGCGGCTTTCGCGGGGCCTGCCAGGCTGCACACGACGATCCCCACGATTAGGCGTTAGATTCTCTGGGTGCGAAAGGGAATTCTTTTTTCATCGTGACCGCCACGATGCCCTAGCTTCCGGGACGAAAATCGACTGAAAATACAGTCGTACCTCTATAACCCCTTTAAATCGAAAGCCTCTGCAGATCGAAGCTTTTTATTTCCCCTTGCAAACTTTCGATAATTCCAAAAAAAAAAAAAAAAAAAAAAAAAATTGAAAAAAAGAAAAGTTGACTCGAAAATGCGCGTACTCGACGCTTGCAAACTACAGATTAGAAGTTATCTTGACTCTTGGGACCTAGAACTAGAGTTTAACTGAATGTTACTCTTGGGATCTACAACTCGAATTTATCTCAACTCTATCGCTCTTGTAATCTAAAACTTCTAATTGTCTAAACGTCAATTTACTGCCGTTACTTTCTGTTTCCTAACTTTTAGATTGCTTTACGTTACATCACAGTTTATTTCGTTGGTCCTTGGTCCTATTTCAGTAAAAATTGATAATGGCAACGATCTCGATAAATATACAGTACATCAAAGCACAATGAAACCACAAATTTTGGTAAATACATTCATCGATATCTATACTATGTTTGTTTAAGAAACTGTAAACTATTCGAAAGCCATGCAAGATTCATTCCTGTCGCTCTCGGAGTCACGTCTATCCAATCATTCGATTCAGTAAATAAAAGCAGACCTCTAAAATCATCCATCGTACTACGTTCGTTCGTAAATGAAAACTAAAAGCTTCGGCGTTCGCTCCTATATTTAACATCATTATAGCCTTGGTGAGCTCTTACCCTCGACTTTCATATATTTTTTATTTTTACGCTTCCTCTTTAACGCCTTGAAGTCGGTAATATTCCTATTCCTTTTAAATTCGATTCCATTAATGCCCCACGAATAATTATACCGAGGAGTGGCTGAAATTCCCGGGCCAATACTTCCTAGTAACACAGTTTGTCGATACTGTAATGATGTTAAATATATTTATATCCAGCCAAGCTATCCGGTCCAATTATTATTTTTCATTTCCCTTCGGCCTCGACTTACCGAGATCTAATTTTACTCGTTTACTCTCCTCGCGCTTATACCCGTGAAAAACAAAAAAGGTACATTCGTCCCATTCAACCCACCGCGGAAACGCCAGCCAATGGAACCCGAGTTTTCCGATGGGATATCATCTTCAAGAACAAAATCTATTGTAAGGAAAAAGAATGAAAGATCATCCCTGGAAGGAATTCCGACTCGTATCGGGTTGGACGTTTCAGTCAGTGTTCGACTGAAGTAAAAATTACTCGACGCTGTTCGTCAAATGATTTTCAAGCATTTTGAGAGACGGTTGTGTAAAGAGACGTAAAATTTTTTACGAAATTCAGGAGGAAAGATATATTGGCATTACTCGATTAACGCGTTGATTGTCAATCAGAAGATAACTCGTAGTTAACATGTCGTAATCGTGACCCTCGGGGGCTGTAGCGGTGTTTTTTAAAACTACGGTACGGGCTTAGCAACCCCGAGGTACCCGAGCTAGAGGGGGGCCAGCGGGCCCCAATAGATGAGAAGTAAGAAATACTGCAAACGGTATTAAAACACTAGACTTTTTAATAATATAATATTATTGAATCAAGTAAGCTTTTTACACTGGACTCCTGAAAAGTACAGCAACGCTTTAATTTAAAAAATGGAAAAAAATAATGTTCAAGCCTCGCGTACGTCGCAATGCACGAGGTTAATCCGAGTCTGATCTTTCTTTCTCTGTAAAACACTAGCCTACCGTTGCGCCGACCTATCTAGGTAAAGGCAGAGCTATTACTTTTCGATCGTGGCAGCGAACAGAGGATTAAAAGGATACCAGAATCAGCACGCCAATGTAGATAGCGTTCTATACGAATCGCGGTAACGTCGCAACGATTTCCCTGACGATGGCAAGCGCGAGAGGGATGCGCGCGCCTAACCGATCGTCGCATCCTCGTTGCGGCTTTAAAAAAAATCTAGTCGCGTAATAAACGGAGAGCTCGATTCCGAGCTATCGATAACTTTGTTTCCAAATGAGAAATTCACCCGACGGGATTAACGGCAACAGGTTCTCGGGGGAAGTTCCGGTCGAACAGGGTGGGCGAGCACGGGGTGCTGGACACGGGGTGTTTCCTTATGGAGAAAAAAATATACATGTCGAATCGAGTAACCTCCTCTTTTTTCGAAGTCGGTTAAAAATGAATGGATAATGTGCAACGACATTTTGGAACTCGAGCTATTTAGTTCTCGAGAAAATCTGCTTTGAAAATTCATTGTCATGCCTCCGTGGGCATAGGAGGAGAATGGTAGATTAATCTTTATTTAAAGAACGAATAAACGCGTGGGTAATACACCGAAAAAGTCGAACAAGATCCGTGTTGAGTAATTTTGTTTCAGTTGCAGGTCTCACGGAGGCTGAGCTAAGCGTCTGACCCAGTACGGTCCGCAACTCCTTCGAGGACTGATTTCTTTCCACTACGGTACGCGTCGGGCTGTCTGACCATAACTCGCTGTTTTCACTTGGGTTGCCGCGAGTAAAGTTCGACGGTGGTCACGGTGTTATTTGTTTTCCGTGAGTATCACCTCCTTGTACCTAGTTGGAAGCAATTAACCAATGCGGTCCATTGGAAATCCAATAAAAACTATTCCTGTAGAGTTAGCCGCGTCAAACTTTTGCAGAATTTGCAGATGCTTCTTTGTAGGGATATGTTGTACACAGGGTCTGCTGTTTATCTTTCAGTTGGTGTATTAATTAATTCAAGGTCGAATCTATTTCCAAAACAGTAACAAAATTTAGATAGGAAAGTTTGTTTTTTCCTATTTCAAGGATTTTTTACTTGAACAATGATTTTGTTCGCGAACGTCTGACCAGCGCAAGTAGAAACAGCCAACGATATACAGACAGATATCGAATTGGAGGAGGAACGAATTTCCTTGGAAGCAGAGTCTTCTAAGAAACATTTTTACCTACCATTTTCGATTTATTAGCACGAATCACGGTACGTCCGGTTAAACTACCCACCCTGTACACTCGCCACGATCGAAAGTCGTGGTCTCTATTTCGCTCGGCGACGCGCTCGTGTGCCGATTACCTAGCACACTATTTTTATCGTATTTAACGATGCGTTGACGTTAGATTATGCCCGCACGACCGAGTATTCGAATGCGAAAAATTGTCGAGCGAGAGGTCGGTCGGCTTGCGACGAAAAATTTTATATTCCACTTTTTAACCGACCGATTTTATTCAATCTCGTTCGCTTGAAGTTTACAACGATATGTAACAAAATTCACTTTCGAATATAATTGGAAAAATTTTGTTCAATTAAAAACATAGAATACTTTCGATCGTGTAGCGGCTGCCGATAATTCAATATATATTCGATCACGCGATGTATTTCCGCTATCATTTCCTTATCGTGTGCCAAGCTCGCTTTTCTGCTCGAAATTATATCGGGTTATTTGATGATCGATAATATGCGTATATTACAAACTCTCGTGTTTAAGTAATCTGATAGGTTTCTTCCTTGCGTCGTTTACGTCGCAGAACGTGCTGCGCGGAGCTTAAATTTTGCTGACAAGATGACAATGTATTATATTTAACCGACGAAGGAAATCCAACCATCGCAACCAACGAACGATTCTTTAGAAAGGAAATATCACCGGAACTCGCGGTTGTTACGCTTTTAAGCGTAAAAGACTCGATAATTCAGTAGAAGGTCTCGTTGAAACATCTAGGGAAGAGTGTGCGGCACGTCTTGCGTAAGCGAAGCACAGTGAAAAAGATTGAAAACGTACTACAACTAGATAATTTTAGGGAAAATTAAAATGTTGCAAGTGTGATTAATTGTACAAATTTCTCCATTTGGATTTGTTCTTTTCAACACTACATTTCGCAAGGTATTCTGATATTAAAATAACTAGATCGTACATATCTCGTTTGCTACGTACGATTAAAAATTCGTACGCGTTATTATTCGATTCTCAAAATACCCTGAACCCATTTACCAAAGGAAGGAAAGCGGTTACACGACGCGACACGTCTTTGAAAGTGTCCGAGCGTGGTTACGCTCCTCGAAAAATACAAAAATCCGTGTCGCTCGATAAAACTATTCGCTTCCTATCAGCCTCACTACGCCGCGACTTCGCTCGATTTCCATCGACACGTTCGGTGGCTCGATTTCACCGGTTTAATTCTCGCACTCGAACAACTCGGTCGCTATATAGGGAACGTAAACATGGTAATCTACTGAAAAAATTTCGATCAACGAATAGCGAGACCTAATGGCAAAACCTAGCACACCGTGCTACATCTACTCACGGATGCGCTACTAATTCGGGAACGTACCGTCGGTTTTACATTTTTAGAAATAGATGCACACTGCGATCCCGCGATAACGATATGGCTCTCAGGCCAAATGTCCGTTTGCGTGCCATCGTAGTCGGACAGAATGATACACGGTACGACACCACACGATCTCCCGAAAGACATTGGAATCAAGTTGAATCACGCGACCACGAAGAATATCCGTTAACCCTTCACACTCCACTGGCGCCGTCACGGCGACGTACGTGATACGCACCACATTTCGGATCTGGGATTTATGCACGACAAGGTAAACTGAATATCAACGAAGCAGATGAAGAAAACGTGTTGCGAAGTAGTTGGCAATCTCGAGGTGGAAAACTTGGGTGCCAGTCGTTGTTTATTATTCAAACGACGTTTCGGCCATGAGGGAGTACGGCCCTCCTCGGGGGAAGGAAAACCTTAAAGTTATATAGCATGTAAGCGAAACGGAGATACAGTCGAGGAGTATATATACCACGAACTTCGAACGAAGACACTTTCACAAATCAAGCTGACAAGTTTGGTTGGAAAATAATCTGCGACGTTAGCCAAATGGTTCGACTTCGAATCGTTAATTTTAGCAGAGGGCCGTACACTCCGATGGTTGACAAAACGTCGTTGGTAGGACGAACAACGATTAACACTGGAACCGTATCGCTCGTGTCCACCAAATAATTCACAAACCGTTCGCGATCGCACACGAGGTCACCGAGAGCGATATTTACAAAGTCGAAACGGAGGAACTTCGAATCGCGAGAAAGGAGACATTCTCGGCGTTCGCGTAACGTGTCCTCGACTGGTCGAATGAAAATTCACGGATTGCAAAGGGTTCATTCGCGAAAAGCGCACGACACGCGAACGCTCTCTGGTACGTGTTCCATTCGCTGCGAAATATGTTTCTATATAATATGTGTAGTATGTAGGTCTTCCTAGGAGAAAGAAGGAAGGGAGAGGCTAGGCGTTAGGGGGATGGAAGTGTAACCTACCGATTAATCTGGCAAGAACTCGACGAAGAAACGGTCGAAGTAGGCGAAAGCAACGGGATGGGTAAGCACGGACGGACAGAGACACCGGTACACGCATAGGGACACGTCGAAACAGCGGACCAATGGCCTGGCTTGGTCGTTCAAAGGAAGGACACTCGTTTCGTGGTGCTCGAGATACGATAAAAAATTCAGAAAGGAAACAAATGAAAGTGACCTCTCGACGTTCGGTTTGCTGGAGAAAAGAAGGGTTGACACGGGGGTGGGGCGGGCGGTCGGAGGACGAAGAAGGAAGGAGAGATTCAGAATGAGTTTCCGTCCGTGGTCGTGGGCACGGGTCGAGTGGCACGGCACTGCTTATTGATCTCACTACCAATGGTACGTAGTATACATGTACACCCGGTGCGCACGGGACATCACTGCACGACGATACGTAGGGCATCCACTGTATCACTATCAACCGCCTATCGTTATCGCCACGAGTACCAACAACGACGGCACCAATAACCATTCGAGTTGGTCCGTCGAAATTTCCATCCTCAACGATGACTACTAGGCCACCACCGTCTCCTTTTCCTCACTGACACTCTTCTTTAGGTTACTTCCTCTCACTGGGTCACGTTTATCCGCGATTTGCCCCGATTCTCCCGGTTCGTTCGTACCCTCGATTACTCAACTATCTTTGCTCGTCGCGACGATACCGCGACAGAGGCCACCGACACCTCGAATCATTCAAGAAACACGATTTTTTCGACGACGTTTACCAGACCTCGAGGCGAACCAGACTCGACACTTTTATCGATGCACTCCGACACTTTGTGACATATAACGAAACTTCTCTCCCTTTCTCTCGCTCAGCAGAAACACACGCATACCCTTTCTCTCATTCTCGCCCCCACCCCTTTCCTTCGTATTCCTTAATTTTCGTCAGGCACCAAGACCAACAAACTTCTCTCTCTCTCTCTCTCTCTCTCTCTCTCTCTCTCTCTCTCTCTTTCTCTCTATCAGTCTCTCGCCTTCGATTCTTTTTCTTCTTCCTCTCTAATCATTCGAACTTACACAATCTCTCGTTCGGCTACGTTCACGCTCTCTTTTTCCTTTCGGTTCTTTTCTTTTCTTTCGTTTGCCACGGGACGAACGACACTTACGATGACCGAGTCGAAGCGATTGTGGCAGGCCAGGGCTGCTGCTGCTGATGAGCCGAACGTCACGGGACTTGCGAGCTTTTTCACTCGGCTATCATCCCGTACAAGCCCCAAGATCTGCTCGACCGTGGAAGGCAGGCGGCAGGGCTGCTGGAAAACGGGGGAGGAGGAATATTCCCTCGGCCACCGGAGAAAGGGGCGAGCTGGTGGGGGTTAGACACCGATTCCGGTGGGGGTTGGTACCCCGTGGTGGGAATGGAGGGATAGGGAAAAAGGGAGAAAGAGAGGGAGAGGAGGTAGCAAGAAGAAGGGCTGCAGCTGGAAAACCGAGTCAGGGGTAGGGACTCCCGTCACCACCAGATATGGGTCACTCTGCGATCGATGCCGATACAGACCCCCTTCACCGCTAGGGATCGCTTGCGATCGCTTACGTCATTTCTACGCTGCCGTAGCATCCTAACCTACGCTTCCTTTCTTCTCGATTCTCTTCACCGCCCCCTTACCGTGCTTTCTTTCCTAATGAACTCGATTCACCTCGCGCGATGCCGATATATCTAACGCGATAACGGTGGCGTTGTCACCAACATCGAGCGAACCGATCGACGGAAATACGCTTTCGATCGTGGTAAATTAAACATGGCGTATCGCGACAGCTGGCACGACGAACGCGCGATACCACCCTGAAAGTCTAGCGGACTCGACAGGATGGTTCGTCTCGCTGCTACACGGGGGTGTAGCTTTCACAAAAGACCAATCAATACGCGCGAGACGATTCACCGATCTTTCCCTCTCCTTTTACTCTTCAACCGTCTTCCCTTCTCTTCCGCTCTGCCTTGCCCTCTCCCTTCCTCGTTTTCTCGCCCTCCGGTGCTTTCTTTCCTCGTTGGCTCTCTTTTTCCTCCAACCACCTCTGGCTGTCTACCTTCGTCGGTTTCTCCGCACACCACCCTCCCTAACCCCCTTCGAATCTACTTTCCCTCTTCGATAGCCGTTCCGCGCTCTATCGTTTTACTTTTCCTAAAAGAGACAATTAAACTATTCGTAATAACGTGGGATTACGAAAAGCTTCGAGGGCGCACGTGAATTTTCTGATCCGTCGATTGTCGGGACCAACCCCTTCCACACCCTCGCCCATCCCTCCTACGTACCCTCGCGAACCAACATGTACGTAACCGGTTCAACACCGTACGAGAAGTTCCATCGAAAAGCGCCCTTCTTACCTCTAGTCGCAACGTCGTTGCATCAACGTTTCTAACGTGATTTTACATTGCAACAGAAAGGCTCTCACACTTACAAAGCGTGTAGGATTAAAGTCAATCATCGATCGATTCTACTCTGTCGTCACATTTTAGGACCTCTTCAAGGGTTTAAAGTTCGATAGTAACACTACAATGAAAAGTCCGACCATTCTTTCGTCAATGAATACGTAACAGAGAGGAATCGTTTTATTATTTCTAAATAATTTGCCAATTTGCACAGCCGTGAATAAATTATTGATCGTTACTCAAATGCAACCTTGCCCATGGCTGGGTGAAATTACAAAGGTCTCGCAACGTTGTCGAGGGGAAAAAATCGTGAGGCAAGGGTCGTGGCGCGGACGACACAGCCCTGACCGAAGCGCAGGCGTCCGTGCTATCGCGTGACGTCACGAGTCTAAGGCACGGGGCGTTATACGCTTATCAATGAACGTACGACGCCTACGCGGATACCTGTTCTCTAGCGGCAAACACCCTCCCTTACCCACTCTTCCTTCTACACCCCATACGTTCTGCCTTCGTGTGTCTCTCCATTCTACTCAACTCTTGCGTCTGACCAAACGTTGACTTCTTCTACTTTTTTTCCACGGGCGTCCGTCGTCCCTCGATTTCTTTTTCAACGGGCGCATATATCTTGATTTTCTTATTAGTCCGGAATAGGCTCTGGACACGAGTGGATCTTTCTCATTGAGTAATTCCACCTCGAATCGATCGACGCGACTTTTCTCTGACACCGAAACAACTCGTAAACCACTGAACGGTCGAAATAAAATTAACAGAAATTTTTCGATTGATTGAATTCTTTTATTGAAAAGTGACGTGGGTGTTTGAATCCTGAGGATCTGTCTCTATTTTAATAATGTTTGATCGGAGGTGTGGTCTTCTCGAGGAAGGTACCGTGCGGAGATCAAAAAAGTGGCTAATGTGTCTGCTTGGTGGGTCTATCATCTACTTGATTGTAATATAGAGTTCTATATTATAGACTGTGGATTTCATGCATTTGTGACTGTACAGTAACACGGTGAACGTACACAAATTTTATAATTAATATAACGACATTGTTATTTCGTTTTGAATAAGATTGATTCGAATCGATAGGCCCGATCAGATGAAACCTTTATCGATCATTCTTTTCGAACGCGTACTTTTGGTAATCGAGGAATGCTGCGAGAGAAATGTACATGGAACGTCGCGTCGGTGGCACTCGTTTTGACGTCAAAAGTGGATACATAGACGGTTCTCTGGCTCTTTGGCACGAGACTCCAAACTGCGCGCTTTTATGTTTCTCCTTTTTCTGCTCTGTTCACGCGGTGTAAAGTTACTTTAAGGTGCATACGTTTCGTTTAAACGGTGTCATATATCGTCGCCGCGACGGAAATACTACCCTCGTTCTCCTATCGTTGATTTTTGTTCAATGAACCTTTGTGTCGGGACCATCGCGGAAATTTCTACGAGCACGCATCCGCGTACGAGCGTGTAACACCCTATATCAATCAACCCCTCACCCTTGTTTCGTCTACTTTTGTCTCGTTCTATTCTTCCCACCCTCTCCTATCGTCTCGTGTCTTTTCTACCTCTCCCGAAACCACCCCTCGATGTCCATCCCATTTCTCAACCTCCTCCACGATTCTCATTTTATCTCCTTTCATGTATCGGTGCAATTTATAAGCCTGCCAATAACACTTTGTACTTAATACGATAGAGCTTCGATAGCTGTATCGTTATAATTTTGTCGGCACAGAAAGATCCATTTTCATCCAACGAATTGTCTTCTTGTAAATTAAATCGAAATTATTTCATTATTCCTATCAGTTATCATTTCACTTTCTTTTATCAAATAACTTCTGTAAAAACATTATCCGACAGCTTAATCCCCTCGTGAGATATGTAACAATTTCAATTTAAAAGAAACATCTGTACAGAATTCAAAGCTGATGATATCGTGCGGGAATTACTGAAAAAACTCGTTCCTGTTCGTTTATCTTTTCGAGATCGTTATCGAATGTTTGCAATTAACGTTTCATTTACAAAGTTGCACAACGTTTTACCGATTGACAATACAACGTGACACTTTACCGACCGTCAGTGCAACGTAACCTTTTATCGACCAGTGGACACCCTCGAGTATTCCCATCATTACATGAATTATGAAATATCGTATAAATATTAATAACGTTAAAAACGTTATGTCGTACAACGGCAATATTAAAAAAATAAAAAAAATATTATTGAATTCAATCATACGTCCAACGATTACAGGTCAGGGAAGTGATAAGAATGCGGCTACGTTTCTTCTTCGTCTTTTTTATTCAAGTACAAACGAGTTGTAACAGTATTAACGCTTCTTCTGTCGTTATACATAATTATCACGTCGCCCAGACAAGTTTCGCGGACTTGCGCGGTTCAACAACCTGGCATCGCGACGTCGAACAACACGCGCCCTGTAACGCGCGCTTTCGGCGTCGTGTCCTTCTCTGATTCGACGCAGCGAAAGCGACACGAGTCGCGTCTACTTCACCTGGCCTTTGTATCGTCCATTTGTGCCGTAGCGAGTAGAGGTTAGTTACGAGCGACGATCGAAACGAGTGTGTGGGTTATTACGGCTCTGATTAGTGACAAGATAACGCTTCCCCGCTCGTAGCTGCATTTATAAACAATACAACCACCGTATTCGTCGTACGTAATTCACTTACGTACAGGAACATTGCAGCAAACGAGCATCGTTTACTTTCTTTGACATTTCAAACCAGATTCTTTTTCCAAGAAAGGAATAATTCCGTAGTTTTCTGTCGATTGTATCATGCTTCCATCGATCGCAATTATTTTTCTTGTTATCGGAATCGCCGTTGCCGAGGACTGCAAAGGATGCGTCTCCCTGGACTCGTATTCCTTCGACAAGGTACTTCTGCTTTCACATATCTTCGTTAGAGGTACAGGTTGTTCTCGTGGAATCGCCAAGTTCGTTTGAATTTAAAGAACCAAAGGATGGATAAACGATAATTCGATCGTTTGGTTGTTTACTTTTGTTTTCTTCACTCGTCGGCTATATAGTCCGTTGCCGTGGTTACAGGACGCTTAACCTATTCATTGCTAGATTATTTGACGATACGCAGACCGCGAATTTTATGCTAACTTAAACACAGTAATAACTTCGATTACATAATCACGCAAATCGACTAACATACTTGCAAACTATTACACCTATTAATTATTAAAAAAATGCCAGTCTATAATCGATACTAGAATATCGTACGACAAACACGACGTATTACATATTGACGTTTTATGTCGAGACGTAATGCACATGTCAAACATCGTCGATAAAAGTCGAATAAAATATTTCTAATGCACCGCAGGTAATTCCTAAATTCAAAGCCGCGGTAGTGAAGTTTGACGTGGCATATCCATACGGAGACAAGCACGAGCAATACTCGCAAATAGCCGCAACCACGAAGGATGCGTACGATTTCCTCGTAGCGGAAGTCAAAGTGAAAGACTATGGCAACAAAGACAATTCCGATCTTGCTGAACGTTATAAGATAAAAACAGAGTCGTTTCCCGCGGTTCTTCTGTTCTTGCAAGGCAAAACGGAACCAATTCCGTTCGTTGCCGATAAGCCAACCGATTTCACGGCGGATAATATTAAGCGATTCATTAAAACGAAATCGAGCGTGTACCTTGGTCTACCCGGTTGCGTGGAACAATTGGACAGACTCGCGGAGGAATTCAAGTCCAGCGGAGAGAAAGAGAGGAAGGTAACGTTTTCGCTATTAAATGACGCAATTTACAGTATTATTGAAAAGCACGTATAATGATCCTTTATTTCATAGGAAATATTAAACAAAGCTAAAGTCTTCGAGGAAACGTTGCCTGACGCGCAACGCGCCGCAGCCAAAGTTTATGTTAAGACTATGGAAAGAATATTAGAAAAGGGGGATGTATTCGTTCAAACAGAACAAACGAGAATAGAGGGTATCTTGAAAGGAAAACTATCCAATGAAAAGAAACGAACAATGGAGGAGAAACGCAATATCCTCCATTCATTCCTGTACAAAGATGAATTATGAAGATAGTACAAATTGTCTCATATGTGCTTCTTGGAAAGATATCATATCGCGTTAACATCAAACATCTACCGATTATTTTAAATGTGATATTTTACACTTATTTCTCGCAACTTAAAACTGCGATACATGAAACGAAAATTTCGTTTACATTTACTCGAAACATTCCAATACTCCAGACTGTAATTTATATAATTGTGAGAAAGGATTTTAAAAAATCGGTTAGAAAAAAATAAAATATAACATAAAAGCAGTTTCAGATCTCTGTAAACTAAATGTAACCATAAACAATTACATTTTGATATTAATTATTTCAAGCTTCGTACAGAAACAGGAACATATATGTGATATATGTATTGCCTATTTATATGAAATTATATTTAAAGGAAATCTAATAAGATCGTTCGTCGAATAAATTACTGTATATTCGAAATTAGATAGCCGTTCTGTTTATTAACTTCTTAATTTCATCGAATTTAAGATTTCTGTTCGCTATATTTTTTTTATAGTATAAATGCTAAAACATCATCCATTAAAAAATCACAGTTAACGTACAACGTTCGTATAAATATTGTCTTATTCATAAATCGAAAATTTATGTCACCTGTCTATTAACGTTATTGCTAACAAATTTTCCTATGTTATGTTCGATGCTCAAATATTTAAATGTATGCATGCGTGTATGTTTACATCGGAATGTAGAATTATAAGTAACATCTGTTTTACCAGAATATAATTTACTTTTTTCCCTCTACATCCTTAACTTCTAATTGTTCGAGTTCCTTGGATACCTTTTCCATACTTTCTTCATTTTTTATTTGCTTCAGAGATTCTTCCAGTTTCTCAATTTCATTATTTTCAATCTTTAAACTTCCTCCTCCCACCTGTTTTTTTCCTTGATCTTCGTTGTCGGTACTTTCACTATAACTTACATCACTAGAAGGTTCACTATCACTTTCAATGTGTTTTTCAACCATGTTATTTTTCCCAGCATAGATCTCGCACTCTGAGCTTACTATTTTCTTTGCTTTTTCAAATGCTTCTTTCCAAACCGATGCATCTTTAACAAAGAGAGACATTAACAAAGCATAATTCTTGATCATTTTCATTTTTTAATATTAATATACTTACTTTCTGCATTTGCAAACCGTATAGCAAGGAACTCTGGCTTAAGCTGTTCATCCGCGTAATCAGCGAGTACGCTCCATACCCATGCTCTATCGCTACCACAATTTGGCTTTAATTCCATCCAGGGTGTTACAAAATGATTAGCACAAATTTTAAACGTCTTATCTCTACGCATTACAACTCTCACTGTATTTTTTATTTTGTGTCTTAACAATTTTACTTCTCCAGTCCCACGTTCTTTCCATTCAGCAGGGTTGTTGGATGAATCATAACGATACAATTTTGCTCTCCTGTGGATAAAATATATATATGTATAACAACTACAAATACATAAAGCAGGAATCCATAATTATAGGGAGCCAGAATTACATTCGTATCATTTCAACTTCATCCTCTTCATTGCTGGATACTTCTACTAAAGGTAATGAAATAATTGGCTCAAAATGTATGTCACTTTCGTTAGTCTCTTCCTCGTTGTCTTGTGTTTCACAATTAGCGCTCTTCGCGTCGACATGATCTCCGTTTAACTGGAACATGGAATAAACTATTATATTTGTTTCAATCAAACATTAAAAAAAATTAATTTATCAGTTTTTATAAAAGTATTTAGCATTCTTAAGAGTATCTGTTTCTATTTAACAATTCCTTTCGTGTCGTTTGAAAACAATAAAATATTTTATAAACGAACATGTTATGCTGGTGTGCTGTGCTTTGTTTCTAAACGGACGCGACAATATAACCTCCAACATCATTTTTAAACTTATAAACAAATAATGATAAACTTTCTTCCTTAAAGTACCGAATAACGATAATGTACAACTGCGGAAAGAAATATATTTACCACGTTTTCTGGCATTTTGTTCGAGATCCGCAAAATAAGTTCGCCAATCAATTATCAAATACCGCCAACTTTGACCTGTTTGATAGCAAATCACGATATTGCGAGTACGACTCCATAATAATTCATAGATGGTGTTTAAATGGTAACCGTTTAGTAAAATCGAATTATGATGGATGAAAATGATAGGGGATATGCATTTTAAGGTAAATAACTAATTCAAATCATTTGTTTATAAATGTTGTATCTTTCAACTTATTCTAAAACATAAGATAAACAATATATTTATTGTATAGTATTCAATTGCGAGAAATAGTTGCCACCTAGTGGTGCAAAGGTCGAATTAATTAGAGTTTAGTCAACACCTCTATCGAGAAAACGCCCAAGCTAGTCGCCGATTAGTTCCTACAGGCACCACTAAATGGCGCCATTTGTTTCGATCACGTAGCCACCGTTACATGATCCACACCTGGTAAATTGTTATTTCGATATCGACTAAACAGTGGTTATATTGCCGCGGTTGTAGGACCACCTCTGTGCCTATGTGATGACAACCGAACCGACAAAACTCCTACAACAGGTTGCCGCATACTGGGGGCATCCCTGCGCCTACGAGATGGCAACCGATCCGACAAACCGGCCATCATGAGTTGCTGCATACTAGGGGCACCACTGCGTCTACGAGTTAACAACCGAATCGAGAACCGGCTAGCAACGGTTGGAGGGGAGAAAGGGGCACTCGCACCTACTTGATCATAACTAACATTTCGTTCACTTATCGTTCATTCTGCGGTGAATGGACACTAAGTCTTCGTTCCCTCTTCGTGCAAGCCGCGTTCATAACTTTTCATATTTGGATACCTCCTAACACTTCTTCACACCTTCCAACACCTTGTAAAATATCCTAACACCTAATATCTTTTAACGTCATCTCCTAACATCTTTTAACGTCATCTCCTAACATCTTTTAACGTCATCTCCTAACATCTCCTAATATCCCCTAACACCTTCTAACATAATCTAACATATCCTGACACCTCCTAATACCATCTAACATCTCCTAACAGTCTCTAACATCTCCTAACAGTCTCTAACATCTTCTAACATTCCCTAGCATCTTCTAACACTCTCTAACATCCCCTAGCATCTTCTAACACCCTCTAACATCCCCTAGCATCTTCTAACACCCTCTAACACTTCCTAACATCACCTAACAATTATGTTCTGCTCAAAACTTCAACAATGTTGCAAATGGCTCCCGCTCAAAACCTCGAACTTG